ACGACTGCATGTGCTATTCGTTGTGGTACACCGGATTACTGAAGTGTAACTGAAAGTTGGTGCTTAAACATGAAGCTCACATATTAAATGCTAACACAGCGAACTATACCCCGAGTGCAATGATTGAGTTCGCTCAAATTATAAAAGGAGTTTTGTGTGCACAAGCACAAAAGGAAGGTAATTGCAACTGTGTCAAAATGCTTCAGATCACGAGCTCGAGTATGGTGTTAAACTGAGGCTGTACCTGATCTGGCTGGTACCTGATCTGAAGAAAATCCCACACCCCCTGTGTTTCGAGCGGAGGGTTGTGCACGCCTGGAACAGTCTGCCAGAACACGTCGTCGAGGCCGAATCTGTGCAGAAATTCAAATCTTTGTTGGATTTACACTTCGCTAACCTACGTTTCAGAGAACGGTTGCCCCTTGACAACGATATCACCTACTTGTGACTCACTGTGTGAACAAGCATTTTGTGTGCTACAGGAGGAGTTGCTGAACCATCTCAGGAAAACCACCGGACGTGTTTGTTTATTTTTTAAAAATGTTTTTGATTATCACCCGATGGAGTTGTACAGAATTATTTTCTACTTGCTCCAAAATACAGTATTCAGTATTCAGTACAGTCCGATCTGCACCAGGTGCCCGATCTGACACCAGTGGCTGAGGAATAACAAATTAGTCAGCTTAAAGTAAAATGGATATCCAAAGCGCATGGAAATTTCCATCCCAACACGCCCCATCTAGGTGAACAATAATCCAAATAGATTGGAAAGTGAATTTGAAGTACACGTTGTGTGGATGGATTGCGACGCGCAATCTCAAAGTAGACCGCGATTCCCATTGAAGTGAACCTTGGCCACTCGATCACTAGGACCGTAGCTGATGAAGCAGCAGCAAATTGGGTGTTGCCCGCCTGAAACCACTGCACTCCACGACGCGTTTCGAGGTTATTTCTTCTCATCAGATAGAGATAGCAGGCATCGAATCCAAATACTCCTGGATGCGAGAAGACTATGAAGAAGAATATCAATATCGCGCGTATTTTCCCCTAAAAGCCAATGGACGAAGTCGGTTTTGGCATTTCTTGCGTTGGCTCGTTTTTTGAATTAGTTAAGGTTAGTTAGTTAGTTCCGTTGATGAAACATGGCTCTCATCCACATGCCTCCCGGTCTTATTCCTTCAGGTTTACACTGGATATGGGGTATGTGGTTGGAGCTGTGGGTGGTGCAGCGCAAGCCATCCATGGTCCCTCTGTAGGCGCAGGCGTCCTGTGGCTTGCCACAGTGACAGGCAAATCCGAAACCGGATGCCGCCAAGCAAGCGTATATGGTTGGCGGCATCCGGTTTCGGATTTGCCTGTCACTGTGGCAAGCCACAGGACGCCTGCGCCTACAGAGGGACCATGGATGGCTTGCGCTGCACCACCCACAGCTCCAACCACATACCCCATATCCAGTGTAAACCCAAAGGAATAAGACCGGGAGGCATGCGGATGGGAACCACGTTTCATCAACGGAGCCGGCCCACACTCCTTCACAGGCAAACACAAGCACGCTGTATTTGGGGAATCAACTGCACACAAGGCGGTGGCTGGACCGTAGTCCGCTCCACACTGAGTGCATGGAACCGCTCTTTGAGCCTAGCACGGCCACAACAACCGTGCACCCCGTCCCCTCCAGCAACGACCAACTGTCTCCTGGAGCCAGTATGAACGATGTAGTGGGTAATAGACAGGTAGGCACCTTGTCAACATACACATCAAGCGCAACCATACCAGGGATATCAAACAACAGCCACTCACTTTAAACGACAAGCTGAAATTAAATAAATCCAATAATGCATACAGATACGGTGGCATAACTCTTCGCTAAATTACCATATGGAGTAAGTTGGTTAGCAACAAATCCGTGATAAGTAAGAAATGTCCACAAGTTTCTTAAAATGCTACAAACGCAACAAAATTACCGAAGATAAGCGCAATTAGTGTAAGCAACTTGGCCAGTTAATAGAACATTATTCAGGGAGGCAGAACAAACCAAATAAAGCGGAATGAAATTTAGCCAGCTTAAAAAGACCTAGTTTAATTGTAAGTTGGTTTAGCCCAACTGCGGTGAAGAAGCATCAAGGATGCAACATCAGCCTCAGCATGTATATATATATACATATATATACATATATATATATACATTATCTGTGCTGTGCATATTACCACCATTTGCGCCAAGAGGTTACATTTATATTCATTTGCGTACACACAAGTAAAATTAAAATACACATACGCATCGATGGAACTCAGGTTTCACAGTGAATTTTTGTATGAGTGACGCTATTGAGAACTGAGGATATATATACATATTTTTTTAATTTTACTTGTGTGTACGCAAATGAAAATAAATGTAACCTCTTGGCGCAAATGGTGGTAATATGCACAGCACAGATAATGCCAAAGTAGCGATATCACAATGAACCAAAATCTTTTCCGAAAGACCGGTTTGATGTAGTTACACAAGTGGAATTCGGCAAAGAATATGCCGAAAACTGGGAACTAGAGCAAGAGTGTAATCCACACAGGTTAGATCCAGGAGATGGAAAGCAATGAGTAGAGCTCGTCGAACTGGTTCGAATGAGCGCAAGCACAATATTGTGTGGGGAGAATTGGAGTCGCCACAGAGGGCAAAGCGAGAGACGAGTTAAAGTGCGGCCGCACGGTAGGGTGTCAACCCTAATAAATTCCCAAATTCTGTTCATTTTATTCAGTTAAAGCTGTTTTCTTTAACGTTTGCACAAAATTGACGTGGTCGAAATAGGTTCAAGTTACACACGTACGATATATTATGTTCCAATATATGACTGAAATATTGAGCTGCTAAATTCAATCCACCTTTCTACATGACTCGCTATTGTATGGTGCCAATTTGGAAGTACCTATAGATTTGAAAACGTAACCGCGTTTGTGGATGTTGTTGTCGAAAACCACGGCATGTCCACCTTTTCAGAAAATCAAAACATCCATACAGAACCAACAGTAAGTTGGTTAACGCGCTTTCTGGTCGAGCAAAGATGTGGCAAAAATTATTGTGCACATAATGGCACAATTTATGCATATATTTTACCGTGTAGTTTTCCGACTATGTGGCGTAGCCTTCACAACGGCTTCTCTCGACGAACGTTATTTTTATATTACGTACTGTAGATATAACATTTTTGCAAAGATAAGCAGGCAGATATTTTCCTAAATCAGAATCCAAGGTCACAGAGATCAATCTACTTGATTCACATTCCGAATATAAACGCTCAAATATCGCGCATAATTCGCGATCTATCATATGTGGACACAAACTTTTACGTCAACGATAAATAGTTATGAAGGAAGGTTTTAAGAAAACTTCGCCCTTTTGACAGAAGGCAATTCCCGAGTATATAGTGAAGCGTTATGCGATCGTTGCTTGCTCGAGTTATGACTGCACCCTTGTTATATTTATACCATTTGCAAACTCGCATTTTTTGACCATGCCCGTGTAGTAAATTTAAAGTCGATAGTGTAAAATGCTGAAAATTCACCCCTTTGGTACATATATCCAATGGTAACTTGACCGACTTGACTTGAACATTGGATAACTCGATGTTAGGAATCAGGGTGGTGCTCAGTTGGTGGGCTATTAAGCTAATTGTTTTAGGTGGCTGTCGATTTTCCTTCGTAAAGCAACCTTTTGTGATCAGCACCTGTATCACCCCTGTATCCAAGGCGATGGGGTTCATTGGGTCAGCAATATTCACTTACGACCAAAAGCATAGTAAAACGATACAGGAAAATGCGCGTTTCGGCTTTGCCCTCTCCCATCACTACATTGAATGGATACGGTCCCAGTGATCGGAAATACAGAAGTTGAATCCATAGCCAACCTTGGCTAAAACTAAAATTGCGTGTCACAATCCACGACCATAGGTGGGCGTACTCCAAAACCCAACATTCAGAATAGGACACCAGGATGTTGCATTTTTCCAGCGTTGAAATTTCGATACTATGCGCTTAATATATCGCAATATATGTTGTTAACAGAGCTATAAAATATCCGTATATGCCCAGGTATAGGAAGCTAGCAGTTAAACTTAAAAAGCACTGTGAAGACAATACGAAATGCATGCATCTACCCGCCTTCGTCTTCTTTCCCTGCTTTTCAACTTGTTGAAGGGAACTAACTGCTTTAAAAAGTACTGCCACAAACGCTGGGACTCATATCATAACGCCAAATTTTATTTGCGGATCTAATTGTTCTCATGTGAATCAGTATATCAACCATCTGACCCTTGCGTTCTGTGTTCGGAAAATTCTAGTTTGACTATCATTTACAAAAGAGAGATGGCACATGATTGTTTTGATAACCCATCGTTAGACCCATACATTTCAACGAGTAAACTAATAATTGGCATAACAATGGGTTCAATCAGCACAAATGCGATTAGATCACATGAAGGCCAGGGGGGTATAATCCTGCAACAAACACACACGATAATACCAGAGAAATTTTAGAGTTGGCCTCAGAAGAATCCTTACTATCTGGCCAACGTATCGAAAGAGCAATTGTGAACACAAATGCCGTTGACACAACCGAAAACTGATCGCCCTTCTGGTAGCAAGGGTGATGAGGTGCAGGTCTTTCGATTAGAGGTGAGGAACCCCGTATAGTATTCGCAAGGCATGGATTGGATGAACCTGATATCCACTGTCTACAAGCTGAACCAGAACAGAGCTAGTTATAGCTCCGGAACGTTACTGGCGCAACCATCATAGAAGGCGCTCATTACTGCGATTCGACTCTCCTTACTATTTTACTCAGGCTTGTTTAGGTTCGACGATGAAGCATTGAAAACATGTGTATAATTTCAATCCATTGTTTTTACGTATCTGTTGGTATATACATTTAATGGAGAATGAATTTTTAAAACAGGATGCAAGCAGAAATATGTTAACATTCGTTAAGGTAAAATGACGAGGCTCACCAAGGCACAAGTTCCTTTCTGATTGATGCAGTGTGGCTGAGTTAGGTCCGGTCGTTGTTCCAAAAACAATCTGTCCTGACCGGTAAGCTGAACCACATGGGACGGGGAGATGGATAAGATCAAATGGATACAGTTAACATGGTATTAATGTAATGGAAACAGCCATGTATGCTTTGTAAATCTTAATACTCAAATATGGTAACCCAACGGGACACAGCTTTACCTCTAGAGAGGTTTAGACAAGGTTTGATCATAAGCAAATTAAGACAGAACATCAAAGAAAATGAAAGAGAAGAGTGCCGTTTAACACTTGTTTAACCCTTCGTTTTATCTTCAGCGGTATTCCAGTCCGATAGCAGCTTCAAAATAACAGGCAAATTGGCTAGTTTAAAATATCAAACTCTAGTATCATAGAACAAAACTGCTGTGGTTGGCTCATTAGTGAAGGTGTTTTCCGCAAACACGATAAAGCTGACTTGCAAGCCGCATGGAAGGCCAGTAGACATTGAGTAGTGAAAAGACAACGAAATTATATTTTCCGATGAAATAGTTTCCAAACCGTGGACTAATATTTTCTTTTTGCCTAAACCATTTCACCTATCTAGTACGCCCCACTGACGTTAACGACAATTTTCCTCTGTTTGGCAGCGCAGTAATATTCCGTCGACTTATAAACGTTAATCAGGAAATGATAACACGCAAATGCATCTTAGTAAATGTCATGAGAGTGAATCATTGGTAGGCGCCTAATTGCAATGAAACAGGGCGCGACATAATATCCCATACCACACAAACACAAACCAAACGCACCACTGATGATACACACTTCATAATGGACTATGATTTTGAAGTTCAGTAGTAAGCTACCAACTCATACTTATATATATATATATATATATATATATCGAATCGGTGGTGTCTAGCACGGTACTAAGCCAGGCCGAATCACTAATAGATAGAAGCAGGAGACAGTCCCAGGGATGATCGTATTACTTCGATTAATTTTCATAGCAAACTTCCCTCACTGCTTTCAAGCTGTTCGGTTAATGTTACTGGTTACTTCAGCTATGTAATCTTATTATTACATTGACATCAAGTATTAGCTTACTCCTTAGAACACGTTCTTGATTTTATTGCAGCGCCTTTCCTTTCCTTAATATATCTATACCAAAAGCCGGTTTACTCTTTGTATGCCTTCCGAATCACCCTGTTTTCGACAATTGTACATAACTGTAATGTGTTGACCGTACTTTTGTTGATGTGGCTAGCATTGCAAAGAACGTTTCTTCATTTATTTAGCATCACAAGGTCAACACTTCGGATGCAGGGCTGAGAAAGCCGTAAACAACGCTTGAGTAGCAGGATTTTAGTTGTAATTTTAAGACTTTCATCCAAGTAATTCACCAGCTACATACCACCTCCTGGTCCAGAAAAGCACCAGGCGCGTTTCGCTCGTCAGTGCTGTGCATTTCCTCACCTAAACATGCAAGTGAATGTTAAATTGAAACCGCTGAGTCTACGTAGAATCATAACAACCCCGGAACACACAGTAAATCTTGTTTGATCAGGTCAATTCGATATTCAGGTCTAGGAACGTCCAGGCACTTCATTTTACGTTACCTTACACTTATGTGCTTACTACCTAAAAGTACCCGGTCAACAAAGCCTTAGAACTAAAACCTCATAAAAAGTTACATTGTTACCTTAATCCCATATGTCCTCTTTCTCATATGAGGAAAACTGCACCAGGTATACGTAGCTTGCCTAGTGTCGCTGTAGTATATTATGTAACATTATATGCTACTCATTTGATTTTGGTTAATGGCCCGATTGCTTTTATCACTTTTCGCGTTGCTTTGCTTTTCATGAGCCTGTCGCTTTCATTTTATCAGCAATCTGCACTGGAAATAACTGAAATTACCCCTGTTCTGATAGAAAAAGACCTTGAAACCACTATAAATCTTCCTAAATGTTAGTAATGCATACATTTATAAACCCAAAACATTAAAAACATTACAAGAGTGAGTATATTTCACGTGTAAAAAAGAGCATTTCATTGTGCGCAAGATTTCTCGACAAAACGGGAGATATGCATTATTGTTCATTGTCGAATGTGGGGTTAGAGCAATTACCAATAATCAAACATATGAACAACCCACTGGACCTTTGATAGATTTAGCAATGCATCCGAAATGTGAATATTTGTATAAGTGTGAAGGCGGCCATTAAAATACAACATTAAATGGTCCAGAATTAAGGAAATTGGTCCATGAACTAAGGTGATTACGTAAAAATGGAGTCCAGCGACATTTCAAAGCAATACTCTGTTCTATCCCATCAGCAGGTGGCCAGAAAAAACACAACGCGAGGCAGAGAATGTGGATTTGCAAATATTGACTGCAATTTCTCAAAACAAATAAGGCGGTATCGCGTCCGAGAAAAGAGTAAGACGCGTTAAAGTTAATTAGATACTAACGCGTGTTTGCGTAATAACAAGGGAAACTTAATAGGGTTACTTAATACACTAATGAGATATAGCCACTTAACCATTTAGAATACGCTGGTTAATCATGTGAAAGCTACTACGATAAACAAAATCAGTCTATTCCCTAAGGAATCAAAAGTAAGAGGATGTTCATCCAGATCAAATACTTGTCTAAAAGCGATGTTAAACGTCTGAGTGTGGAATACTTGGAGAGCGATAGACGGAAGCCTGAATTAGGAATATACTTTGAAGTTTGCATAGACTGTGTGGTAAATTTAAATATGCAATGATTTTCATTAAGCCATCTTATATAAAAATGTTTTGAAATGGAATCGCTGTTTACCCGCTGTAATCTGAATTGATGTAACTTTTATTATTGACTGAAGCGATTGTCCTACGCTTTGTTAAAGCTATCTACTACTAGATCAAACAGCATACCCTTCAGAATTTAAAAAGCTGAAAAGAAATAAAAGGCAATCTATGGCTACGTAATCTATGGCTACGACAGATTTCCAACTTTAGAATCGACTGAACATCAAATAGCACCATCAAGGTAGTCTATGTGCATAATACGCCATCAAATCCATCCAGTTGCAAAAATGTTTTAATAACCTACCCTTCTCAACTTTGAGCACTGCAAAAATCGATGTGGAGAAAGGGGTGTGGATGACGGAAAAGCACTGAACCGTTGGTTCGCCATATGGATGTTTAATTAAACGACCAAGTTGAGCTATTTTATGTTTTGCCAATAGCTTCCCATCAAGCCAGGTTGATTGCAGTTACTGAAAAAACTGGATGCTAATGTACAATCTGATAAACAAAAAGACACTACCTCCTGCCCACATCAGAATTGCCATAGAATTTCATACGATGCTTAGAATCAAGAATCACAAAGGGAATATAAAAAGCCAGGGAAGCATATCTCCCTGACTTCTCCTAGTTTCGTTCACTGCCATTTGGAATGTATTAAAAACCACGACCGGTGACTGTAAACTTCCAAGTGGATTCCGCTTAGAAATAATTAAACTGGTACTTTATAGCGTCCATGATTTTATTAGGAATTCTTCCAAAATAGTCTGTAAATATACAGCTTGTGGGAAGATAATGAACAAGAAAACCCAACTACAAACTGCTCTGTATCCGACTTTCTCTGCAACACAGACAAAACTGAATGCTTGTTTTATTCCTAGAAAAGCATGAGCGAAACCATATGAATAATTCGTCCTTTTTTAATGTGCCGCTTCTCGCAAATCTGAGAGCTATAAACTTTATAATACACAAAATTCCTTCTAAGCATTGTTCAGTCATCATCACCGAACTGCGAAAATGTGAGAATCTTTTTCATCCAATGAGTACCTCTTAACTGTCTTCTCATAAGAATACTGGTTGCATTTTTTCATTTCTAGGAAATTTATTACCCTTTGTAAATGCGCTTAACGTGCAAAATTTTGGTATGGGAACTAGGGAAAACTTAACAACTGTGTCAGGCCATCGTTCATTGAGTGAATTGCTGTTGCGCGTTTTCATGCAGTCTGCTGATCTATGAAGAGCTTTATCTGATATGGGATTTCGCATTTCCCTTAATGTGCCGCAAAGATATACATTTGGTACTGTTTAATAGATTGCGTTGGTGTTTTATGATCTATGTGGTACAATGACGCACGAATTCTGTCATCTTGACAAACATTTGGGAGAAAAGAATCTTGACGAAAGCATTTGCTATCTGACATTCTTCATGTAACCTGCATAGATTCTCCTATTTTTGGTGCACCTTCGATAGGCTTCACAGCATGTGCAACATCACACTGGTTTGCTCTTAAGCTCTGGCTGGCCTGAGCATACAATTTCATGAGCCATGCATCGTGGATCGTTTTTAGTACAAAGATTGCTCCAAGTCTAATCTTGGCCAGATGACTTTCAGGTGAATGACGCACTAAATGGGGTGGGCTGGAGGCGGAGTCGTGCTCATCTCATAAACGAGCCTGCTGCTTCATATGGATGGTCGAAATAGCACACTGGCACAATTCACGGAAAACTGGGGCAGTGTCGACTCATGCTATTTGTGGGTGGGGTGCTGGTGGCCACCCGATACGAACGGATATGAGAAATCCAACCTAGTCCAGCGCAGGAATCACAGGCACTAGTGCGCACGAAAGTGATGCTGTGATATTTCGATCCGACATGAATTGTTACATGCTAGTCAATAAAATAGACTAAACGATCGTGACGATTTGGTGAGGACTGTACGGGACGTTGGCTGTGACAGCTGCTTGTGTGAGAAACGGGATTGCATGTCCGTGGACAGTCGGTCATCGGTGGTGAAGTAATTATCATGCACTGAATTTGTCTGCTGGAGTGTCACACGCGTTTAGCTGAATCGACACAACAATTTCAAGCTAATGCGTACTGTTTCTACCTCTATCCGCGGATAGCGTCATCAACATGGCTGCCCTCCTGTTATACCACAGCATAAAGCACATCATGTAAAAATTCCTGTTTTCTCAACTTTTTGAGTTAACAGAAACGTGAAGACTTATTTCATTACTTATTTGCATTTGTGCATGCTGTTTGATCTGGGATAGTTAAATCGACTGCAAAATAC